GGAAACAACTGCATTATATAAAGAAATTTTTGAACTTCCAATTCTTTTAATTTTTTATGGCTCCGCGTATAAGTCGACCCCCTACTTTGAAGTCTTTTTTTTTTTTTTTTTCGGGGGGGTCCAAAATATCTCGACTTATACGTGGGTATTAACGGTAATTTAACATATCAAGATTCATTAAATACTAATATATGCTTGCTTTTAATATTAATATGTATTAAAAATATGCATATTATATACAGATATATTTTGTTCAATTGACAAATAAGGTGGCTATGTTTTTGCCTTAAAAACCATATCTGATGTAACAAAATTGATAACAGTTTTAAAATCAGCATATACAGGCTTGAAACATAAATAACTTTTAAAGCACCAAACTGTGTTATTCACTAGCACTACACTTTTGAACAGTGTAATTACTTACAGAATCTTGGCTATTCCAGAATGTTGTAAAAAAAAAAGTATAGAACCGAACCTGGATTTTCTCTTGCATTTATGAGTCAGAGAGCCCATTACAACTTTTGGGCTTTGAAGATGCATTACAGCATATATTTGTGCCATTTTTTTTTCCCCCTTCAGGGTAAATTAACTATATGATTAACAGAGTTTTAAAACTTAACCAGAGAATTTTCTTCATATCGGTGGCGGGGGTAGGCGAGGGAACTTTTAAAGGAATACTTTGCATTGAAGTATTTCTTTTTACATATTATGCTTATTTATATGCATTCTTTTAATACTTCATGCAAATATGATGATGCAAATTTCACTACCTGAGTTTATTGCTCTAACTATCCTTTTTGAAATTGTCCAATATAAAATGTCGGCTTTTTCATATTAAAAATTAAAATGCTAATTAAAGAAAACATATTGCATTAGCCACAATTATATTTATAATTTTGAATGAAATGTATGAAAGTATAAAAAAAGGAACAAGTGAATGGTGTGTATTAAGAACATATATCATTTGCTATTCTGTATCCAAATGTTATCTGTTAGAAGAATTAAGCTATAAGATAAAAGTTTCTCAAAATATATTTAACTAAATTGTATATCTACCTAGTCAGCTAATAACAGACTCTAAATGAACCATATCATTCTAGATCAGTGGTTCTCAACTTTTTTTGCCCCATGCACCCCTTTCACAATTTCTAGATGATCATTCACACCCTCCTTTCCCAAACTTGAAAAATACATATATACATTTATTTAGATTATTTTCTAACATGTTTTATAAATTAAACAAAAAATATAGAAAATGTTGGTAAATATCAAAACTCGAATAAAAGCAGTTTTTATAATCAAAAGCTAAAAGAGTTAACAGCTAAATGAAAGGCTGATTACATCCCCCCTCTAAAACTACAAAATTCTCTCCAAAGGTGGAATTCTTCCCTGGCTGAAAACCCCTGTTCTAGATAAATCAACTATAAATTGTACGAGATTTCACCTCATCATGCATTTATGATGTCATAAATTTGCATGTGTACAACCTCATTCTCATATAACATACTGACATAATAGATTTAGATACATGATTTTTGATCATATGTTCTGATTTTTGTAGCAAGCAGGCTGTGAAATACAGTTTGCTGCTTCAACTAAAAAGTTTTTTAAAGATCGTTAGAAATGAAACATTCAGTATAAGTGTTGGGATTAAGTAAGAGATTAAAAAAGGCTTAGACTGAAATTAAATTATATCTATAATTTTTCAACTTTTAAGTAGCATACGAGTTCACTAAGATGACTTATCTAGAAGTCATCAGAGAGATTCTACTAACAACATGCTTCATTAGATAAAAAGCTTCATAATCTAATAGTACATTAATATAAAATAAGAAAATGTACTTTAAGGCTATAAATAACTACAGGTAAGCTTCCTCCAATGAGCTTTAACTAGCTGTTACTAGTTTAACACTTATATTAATGACCTGGTAATAACTAGATTGTGACGACAATAAAATTCCTCATTTAAGCTGACAACCTGATGATGCAGATATCCATCATAATAAGAAAAAAAAATTGCAAAGCACCATTCTGAACGATATAATACATAAACTACATGTAACTCTTAAAAGAATAATGTAACTCTTAACACTTGCAGGTTCGCATGTCAGGCCTTTTCTCTTTTGAAAAAATCATAAAGACTGGATATAAAATACTTCAGGATATAAATATTTTTGACTGCTCAACATCCTAGAAACTACACATTGAAGACCTCATAATGAGATTCCAATCTCAGTTCAAAACAGATGGAAGCAGACTGATGATATTCAAAAATTTACTGAGCATTTTAAGGGAAAATTACAACATTACTTAATATTTCTGTAGAGTCCTTTGCTGCATCCTAGCCCCATGAACACTGCTAAATAAAGAAAATTTTCACACCATCTCAATCTTTGTAAACGAATTAAAAGCCAAAATGTAGCTAAAAAATCGTGTTTGCTATAACAGCAAATACTATTCATATTTAATGACTAGATTATAGGCTAGATTAGATTTATCAATTAAGGCAAAGCAACTTGAAGGTTACCTACTTGCTGGAACAGATGCCTTCAAACAGAAACAGTCTTGCATCTGCATTACATTTGAGGAAAACTATTAAAATACCCATGTAGCCAGCTCATTCATTGGATTTAAATCTGGTACAAACTACCAGTGTTTAGTAACTGTTCTGTAAGTGGTGAGCCCTCAGTATCCAAACTATGATTAGCCTGATGGCTAAAAAAATTGAGGAAAAGGGTAAAAAAATGTATAAACGAAGAGAAAGTGCAATATTTTTCTCTATATAATTTATTTCACCATTACAACTATTTCAATACACTGAGTATTGTCTCAAAGATGAAACAATTCAAACCTCCTTGATATGTGAAATATGCACTCTCTCTTCGCACGATATTATAAATCTCTCCATACCTGACCATTTACTGAGTTAAGATTTACTGCAAGCCAGATAGTTTAGGAAAGCAAGATGCTCTCGGGGCATCTAACTGACTATCACAATAAGTTACCTTTCACTGCATTCCTCCCCATTTGGGCATTTCTGCCTGAGATCATGGATACGCCAAAAAGAATATACTAATAACCATAATTTTATATGACTCATATCACTATTTTACTAGGCAACTGATTTTATATGCATGAAGACTCCATATCCATCAAAAAATTAACTTATTAAGGATAAACTTTAAACAGTTACTGTAATTCAGCTACCTAATAACCTGCCAAAAAAGACCACTGCTACTTTCTGGACGGCATAGGCCACAACTGCCTTTCAGCACAGCTAAATCCTGCTGGTGTTTGGAAACTTCTTTCTTTGATCCAGTACAATTAGTGGATTGGAAACGCAAAAAAATTACGAACATCAACCATGTTTCAAAGGCATACTAAAATGATTATTAGCATGAAAAATATAAATAATAAACTGAATTTCAAACTATTATAATTTACAAAGTATTATGTACAATATATTTAATACATGAAAAATATCAAGAATTCATTAAGTTTTCATGTGACATGCATTAGAATGTAGCATGAACACTTGCCTTTTGACATATAAAAAGCAGTATGACTGCCCTGCCATTAAAAATAATAATGCAGAAAACATTTTCATTAGTTCGAATATGAAAGATGTTCACCAGTTAGTGGAATGCAGCAAACATTCAGAAAGGAATACGGAAAGAAATACCAGGTCACCAGACTATGTTATCAGTTTAAGAACACTAGCGGTCTGTGCGAAAAAAAGAAGAGGCAAGTGTGATAAAGTTATGCAGAAAGTTAAAGTTTTAAGCAGAATTCACAAAAATTAAGAGTCACTACATGTAAGAACTTGTAATTTTACAGCAAACTTCATCGTACAGGATGGGAGCCTATAATTTAAACCTTATCACATGTTGTTCTGAAAATGATTAAAGCTAAAAAATTATACCAGGCAACTGGAGTTTTGCATTAGAATGCAATAAACACTAAAGATCACAATTTCATCATCAAAATAATATTCAGCTACAAATGCAATATTCTATTTACCTGGAAAGCTTTTAACACTTAAATGTTAGGAACTGTTTCATGCAAATATACAGTTTGATCGGAATTCATCAAAAGTAACTGTTTTCCATGCAGTGTCAAAAGCTGCATCGTTCCTTTTCTTTCATTGAGAAGACCGTAATGGATAGTTGTTACCTGGATATGTGGCAGTTGTGATCATTCTCACAACCGAATGATAACTCCATAAATTCTGTCTCTAAATAAGACAGGTCCTCTCTTCCCATTGCAGCATCAGTGTTTATTAATACTTAAATGATGAACTTCCACACTATTGAAATGAGCACACAGCTAACTCTCAGCAATACTAAATGAGCTTAGGAACTGTATTCATGTTACTATGAGGACCAATGAGGGAAATGCTGTGAAGACTTACTGAACACTAGCAGTTGTGTGCCATGTAACAAACAGGGTATATACAGAATATGCATAATTTACAATAACAATTTAACGAGTTTCTTGCTCTTTTCATGTGTTAAGTATTTTTGTGTGTCTAATACTTTTGCACACACAAACTTTCAAAATCTGGTGGATCTTTTATAACTGCTCTGACAAAGTAAACAAATCAAACATACCAGAGAATTCAATAAATAATCCAACACATTTTTTTTTATATGCTTGGTAAGTTTTTCAGAAAACATGTTGAAAGTAACATTCATAATTTGTGAAATTTTAATTAAAGACAGAACATTCATGCTTTATATTAAACATGCAACAACATATAACTTGGAATATACATATTTTGCACGCATCTGGTATTTAGCAATTATTTTTGCCATGTTTATTTAATTAATTTATCATATTTAATTGGATTTTTTTCCAAAATATAATTTCAGTTATAAAATTATAACTGATTAATATTCATAATCATAAGAATTTCATGTCTGAAACTTTGAAGTTTGTTTAAAATTTTATTAAAAAAATTTTCACTTTAAAATTTAAAAAGAAAAAAACAATTAACTTACTTGCTGTTAATAAAAGTGTATTATCATCCACTACATCATTTCCTAAAATATTTGAAAACACTGTTACTGTTATGAAATTCTAACACATTCTCAAGTACTATGCCTGAGACAGGAAACAAAACAACTGGCTAAGGACACATGTGAAAACATATCTTTTATAAATGAAAAATACACTTGTACATCATTTTGCCTATAAAATGGATTTCTAAATAATTGTACAAGACATAAAATTTAATAGGGCATCACCAAACAAACTGTATTTTATATGCCCCAACATGCTACCAACATTTAACATATATTTTGAAAAGAGAAAATATGTACCTAATTTAAATTTGATATCATGTGCCTGCACCTAGCAAATAGCACTATTAAGTACTAGTAATTCGAACCAGACCGAGTTCCGGACAAAAGGACAAGCTGCACAGGATTTTAGCGGTCCCCATCCCCCATGCACAATATATGAAACCAGTTTCCTTTAGAAACTCCTCTAATTCATTCCTAGGCAGTCTATATTTGATTGTTTTGCCATAATCAATCATCACTGATTAATATTTTTGTAACTCAGCATTTTTTAAGAATTTATTCATTTTTGGTGGGAGGATGTCTATTGTGCTAAGCCGAGTTGTGAAATTAAAATTTCCTCCTCACTTTGTGTCAGGGCTCCTCGAACTTTTACAATAATTGGCCCCTTTTATCAGAATGAATGTTTTCATGATCCTGTGTGTAGAGGCATATAAACTAGAAATACAAATCAAAACACTTCTTGGTAACAAATCGTGAAAAATTATTCAAAAAGAATTCTTTGATATAATTATAAACATAATTTGCCATGCATTACAGACAAAGAGAATTTCATACTAATAAGCTGAATATGCTTGTTTACTTTTACATAAAGGCTTAAAGTTTGAATAAATTAGTAGGAAATAGAAGTAGAGCAGGAAGTAGACTTTCTTCAGTGTTTTTTTTTTTCAAAAGATGACAGTTTTGATTTTATAAACATTAATGCTGGAGAAGGAGCTTTTCACAAACACATAGTACAAAATGTTTAAAATATGTTTAGACCCATTTCAGGAAGTGTTGGAAAATCTGCCCTAATACCCAATCACAACTCATTTATAATCTTTTTTTTTTTTTTTTTTTTTTTTTTTTTTTTTTTTTTTTTTTTTTTTTTTTTTTTTTTAATTCAGTTTTTAAACCTGTGTCAAAAAACAGCTCAGCAAATTCTTCTTGTGAACTTAGATTATTGACTGATATCAATAATTTCTATTGAGTATGGCTTTGCTTTGTTAAACACTATTTTCTTTTTTCAGCATTAAATTTTGAAGGAAAGTATTTTTGAAATTGTGTCCTTAATCCATAGCTGTAAAGATTATTTAAGATCCCTTTTCCATTCCATTTTTAGATACATTTACTTTAAGTAAATCATTCACTTTTATACTTTAACCTAAATATATTATAATTATTTCCTTGAAGTGACATCATTCAATATCTCTTCAAAACCATCTGACAACTAATGCAGCTTTAATAGCCAGGATTTATTCTGGGAAAAAAAGTCAACATAACTGAATTTCTATTTAGTTAAAAATATAATAGCTTCATATTTCAGTTGCAATAATTCAAATAAATGTCGTCATTTTTACAGCCACCATACTTCTGCATGTATGAATAAGGTATGGTAATCGTAATTCAGAATGTTGCTAGAAGTTTGAAAATACCAGTTTGTTAATGGTTCAGTATTTTATCAAATTGATGATTTTGATAACATCACAAAGCATACTATTTTAAATCTGGTAGTCCTACACCCTCTACGAGAGCTTTCAGATGAATCGCGCAGTAAGTAAAAAATACTTTTATTTGAGAAGTTAAATAACAAAAAGAAGCATACTGTTTGTAAATGTATATTTGTATGCCGATTTTTGTTGTTAACAAATAATTGTTATTAAAAACTGAACTTATTTTTTATAAACTAAGCTTGATATGATTCAGCAATCACTCATACAGAACAGCTGAGTAACTTTTTTTTAACTTAGTATAAAAAGTAACTAATGCTTATAAGGCTATACATGGTCTAATTTTTCTAACTTAAATAACATAATGTAATAATACTCACTTAAACGAAGTTACTGATTTCTTAAAAATATACACATAACCATGCAAGTGGCTAGCTAATATAAAAGTGTAAAATAGTGCACAGAATACTACTTTATACTTTGATATTAACTTTATTTAGAAGAAGTTTAAAATAATTTTTAGAAAAAATACATAATGATTTTAATGAGTCCTGATAGTGCAATTACATTGGTCATGAGAGTACGATTTTATGAAAATATTTAATGATTTTAAGTATTGCTTTTTTTAATTAAACTAATTTAATATATTGTTTCAAATTCAATAATTCTAGACTTTAGATGAGACAGAAATTATACAGTAATCAGCAGTGAACATTGTGCAATGTCTTTACTATAACAACTACTTACGATTCAAAAAGGCCTGGAACAAAGAAAAATGTTTTAAAGTATTTAATTTTTCAGTGCTCACTTAAACGAAGTTACTGATTTCTTAAAAATATACACATAACCATGCAAGTGGCTAGCTAATATAAAAGTGTAAAATAGTGCACATAATACTACTTTATACTTTGATATTAACTTTATTTAGAAGAAGTTTAAAATAATTTTTAGAAAAAATACATAATGATTTTAATGAGTCCTGATAGTGCAATTACATTGGTCATGAGAGTACGATTTTTTGAAAATATTTAATGATTTTAAGTATTGCTTTTTTTAATTAAACTAATTTAATATATTGTTTCAAATTCAATAATTCTAGACTTTAGATGAGACAGAAATTATACAGTAATCAGCAGTGAACATTGTGCAATGTCTTTACTATAACAACTACTTACGATTCAAAAAGGCCTGGAACGAAGAAAAATGTTTTAAAGTATTTAATTTTTCAGTGCTCAAAATCATCATACATCATAAATGAAAACGGAAGACATGTAACAAAAAAATACGTTTTACTCAAACAGAAACACGACCAATAACTGGGCAGTCATTACTTTCATCGTTTCAGAAACATCACCCTCTCTAGGTCTTCCCTCCCCCCTCCCTGAAATAGTATCCTCCTTTGCATACTCTGTCGAGGTCACTGTGGTGCGAAAGCATTCCAAAGTTTTTTGAATAATTTTACTGGTAGTAGCACAAAGCAAATGATAGCATTTCGGAAGGGCGTATATATATATATAGTATCCTCCTTTGCATACTCTGTCGAGGTCACTGTGGTGCGAAAGCATTCCAAAGTTTTTTGAATAATTTTACTGGTAGTAGCACAAAGCAAATGATAGCATTTCGGAAGGGCGTATATATATATATATATATATATATACATACATACAGAACAAAGTCTTTAATCCAGAATGATCTATAATCTGGACCTCAAAGCTACAAGCTGTATGCCAATGTGTTTACGCATGCACGTTTAATATATAACGGACGGTATAAGTTAGGCTAAAATTATCTATTTCAGTTAATGTTGCAGATTGCATTGTTCCTTAATCTTCGAATTGGATCTGCCTTATTATTTTTTGCAGACTGTTAGAGCAATTTTATAAAAGTAAGCTAGAACTTTCGATTATGTCAAAAAGAATTTCCGAATCTGGAGCTGCCAAAGGATCTACAAAGCGAAAGAATGTTTCAATGTCCATCAAACAAAAAGTGGTATTGCTGCAAAAAATGGATAAAGGCATATCCTTTGTTTCTCTAACCCGTACGCAATCTGTTTATCAATTTCACGCTGCTGTGCAGGGGGGGGATGTCGAGGCGCGCAATGAACTGGAAGTTGATCTGTCAGCTCTATCCTTATCTTCAGAGCAGATGTTTATTTTATTCGGCTTATAATTCCTTACTAAATGTAGTATTTCATCTCGATGTACTCCGTCTTTGATATGATTTAAATCAAATTCCTCGTCATTATAAATATCACGAATACACATCAAATAGACTGATGATCTATAATCTGGAAAAATCAATAATCCGGAATCGCCTAAGTCCCGACGAGTCCGGATTAATGACTTTTGACTGTACCATGAAAGTACTTGTTAAGGAAGGAAAAATTTCTTTACAGGGTATCAATTCTGGTATTTTGCCTGTTATTTTATATGAAACCATATCTTACTTAATGAAAAGTTACTTTTTTCTGTTACATTTCTGTGTAGTCAAGGTCTGTTCTACCAAAACACCTCATCAAGAATCAAACTATATACAGTCAAAGGTCTTTAATCCGGAATGATCTATAATCCGGACCTCAAAGCCATGCACATATGACGTTTATGCATGTACGTTTAATGTATAACGGACGGTATAAGCTAAGCTAAAATTATCTAATTATCTATTTCAGGTTATGTTGCATATTGCACTGTTCCTTAATCTTCTAATTGGATTCGGCTTATTATTTTTTTGAAGACTGTTAGAGCAATTTTATAAAATGTAAGCTTGAACTTTCGATTATGTCAAAAAGAGTTTCCAATTCTGGAGCTGCCATAGGATCTACAAAGCGAAAGCATGCTTCGATGTCCATCAAACAAAAAGTGGAATTGCTGCAAAAAATGGATAAAGGCATATCCGTCCCAAAATTATGCGAGGAGTATAACATTGGAAAGTCAACTGTATATGTAACTGTATAAGCAAAAAGAAAAAGGAACATTTTGAATTTTTTGTGGATTCCAAAACCTCACTTGCAATGAATAACAGAAAAAAGGTTCATTATTGATGCAAAAGCAAAGTTTAAAGTTGTAAAATTAAACATTTAGCAGCAATAGCAATAGAAGCTCCCTAAGGTTATGTGCTGTGCAGACATAGAAGACAATAAAATGTTTTTAAACTTAACCAATTTATTAACAATATATAAAAATAAAAACACAATGAATAAATTTAAACAATATCAGAAACTTAAAAAAATTATAAATATAACCATTATCAAAAATTTCATATATTAAATAATATTTTACCTGATCTCCAAAATACTGGCATTCAATATGCGAA